GCCGTTGAAGGGACACGCTGGTAAATAAGCAGAGGTGGGCAATTTGGGACTTAGGAAAGACTCTACTTGACTTTGATTTGAACTTGACCCAGAAAGACGGCTAAACTACGCTAACTTCACAATTTAGCTCACCATCATCAAACATGAACGTTGAATTGAGAATTGAGAAGACAAAATGATGATAAAAGATTGTGAGTGCTTTGGTGCAGCTAGCTAACTTGACCCACAAAGACAACGAAGCTACATTAGCGTCACACTTATCTTGTTGAATTTGTCTGTCTCATGTGAGTGTCTTAACCAAAATATTTTTTTTTTTCTCTAGAGGTGCCCACCATGGAGGAAGAAAATGCCTCGTCTACTCCCGATCTGGTTTTCAAGATACAACAAGTCGGGAAGGTGGAGACTAAAGAAGAAGAGACTGTCCAAGAGACAGTGACCGCCTTCACGTCTAACCGGGACACGAACGGACGGTCGGGTTTGTCCGAACGTGCGCACCCTGACGAGAACGTGCCAACTGAAGACGAAAGGGAAGAAGAAGAAGAAGAGGCTGGAGAAGAAGCGGTTCGAGTGAAAGAGAAGGGAGATGACAAGCAAGGAGGAGCCAAGGAGCCACAGGTGAGAAGACAGTTGGAAGGCGACTGAGTTGGATGGATGCTTGCTGACAATGATGATGATGATGATGCTGATCCTTCTATGATTGATTATAATAGATGAGCAGATGATCTACAAAGGATGAGGATCACCAAAAGAAAAAAATAATAAATTCTGCTTGCGTATTACCTTGAATGCATGAGAAACCATACTATTGTTCCTAATATTTTGGTGTGTGCATGTTTCCAGGCCTCAAGTGGCATCCGCCCGGTTCTTCCTGACCCAGCGTTCAACAGGAGATGCAGCCTGCTGGCTAGTGAGGTAATTTTTTTTTTTTTTAATCAAATGTACAATTAAGTTAATTAAGACAAATGGGCATGAATTATTTTATTATCTCTTCTACAAAAAAAAATATATATATATATATACGCTGATAAGTTCCAAGTGGAGCGCTAAATGTGGCCTTCGTACGCGATAAGACGTACTCGATGACCGACGGACTGTCACGAGTCTGGATTGTCGTTGGACTGGACCCGACTGCCTGTGCGCTCAGAGACCTGACGGGAGCTGAAGCTGGATGCTGCGGGAGAACTCTTCGCCAATCACCCGAGGATTGAAGCTCTGAGAGGGCCGTTGAAGGGACACGCTGGTAAATAAGCACAGGTGGGCAATTTGGGACTTAGGAAAGACTCTACTTGACTTTGATTTGAACTTGACCCAGAAAGACGGCTAAACTACGCTAACTTCACAGTTTAGCTCACCATTTCACAGTTTAGCTCACCATCGTCAAACATGAGCGTTGAATTGAGAATTGAAGAATTGAGAAGACAAAATGAGGATAAAAGATTGTGAGTGCCTTAGTGCAGCTAGCTAACTTGACCCACAAAGACAACGAAGATACATTAGCATGACACTTATCTTGTTGAATTTGTCTGTCTCATGTGAGTGTCTTAACCAAAATATTTTTTTTTTCTCTAGAGGTGCCCACCATGGAGGAAGAAAATGCCTCGTCTACTCCCGATCTGGTTTTCAAGATACAACAAGTCGGGAAGGTGGAGACTAAAGAAGAAGAGACTGTCCAAGAGACAGTGACCGCCTTCACGTCTAACCGGGACACGAACGGACGGTCGGGTTTGTCCGAACGTGCGCACCCTGACGAGAACGTGCCAACTGAAGACGAAAGGGAAGAAGAAGAAGAAGAGGCTGGAGAAGAAGCGGTTCGAGTGAAAGAGAAGGGAGATGACAAGCAAGGAGGAGCCAAGGAGCCACAGGTGAGAAGACAGTTGGAAGGCGACTGAGTTGGATGGATGCTTGCTGACGATGATGATGCTGATCTTTCTATGATTGATTATAATAGATGAGCAGATGTTCTACAAAGGATGAGGATCACCAAAAAAATAAATAAATAAATTCTGCTTGTGTATTACCTTGAATGCATGAGAAACCATACTATTGTTCCTTCCTTTGGTGTGTGCATGTTTCCAGGCCTCAAGTGGCGTCCGCCCGGTTCTTCCTGACCCAGCGTTCAACAGGAGATGCAGCCTGCTGGCTAGTGAGGTAATTAATTTTTTTTTTTAATCAAATGTACAATTAAGTTAATTAAGACAAATGGGCATGAATTATTTTATTATCTCTTCTACAAAAAAAATACATATGT